TCTGTTAAAGTAAAAGAATTAGAAGGCTTAACAATTACGTTAGCCTGTCCCACTATTTATAATAAGAGTTAGGAAAACCTTAGGAGACCCTAGGTATTACATAAAAGACCTAAATACCCTTTAACAGAGTCCATCAAGAAAGGATGAACATTCTAGTTATTTTTGCTGTTACCAAGGTAGATCATATTGCTCCATGTTTTGAACCGAAGTACTTTATTATAGGTTGTAGATGAAAAATAAAAAAGAAGGAAAAGGGCTCATGTGATGTACTGTTTTTTTGCTGGATTTGTCAGAATGGAATCTTGATTTGGTTATTATGATTTAGTTTGATTTACCTACCAATTATTCCTATTGGTGCAAATTAATTCTACAGGTCTATTTACCTAAGGTGAGTAAATTTATACAGTTGCAATTTGCAAATAATTATATTTTAATCTTACAATCAATCAGTGTCCATTCGCTTGAGTCAGGTTAGACCCTAATTATCTTCAACAATTTTTTCTTCAGAAAAAGGAACTAAAAACTGGTCCCTGAAGGAACTTCTGGTGTAAAACATTGTTGACCCAAGTCTTTATAAAGACTATTCAACTTTTTCGGGTTTCTTCCTTGTTGCCTTGCACTTCTAATGCCTTTTCTATGTTTCATAGCATTTACTCAAGTAAATAATTGGTTTTCCAAGCGCTCATTTTTTAAAGAGGTGTCCTTTATTGTATAACTTTAGCTGAGCATGAAAGATCGTGGCGTGGAAACTTAGAGGAAATAAAATTCGTTCTTATACTTGGTTGGCTTACTGTTCTTTGGACTTCGGAGATCTATTACCCTAAATAGAAAGTGAAACTGAGAGAAAGATTAATGATCTTTAGAAGTGTCATTCATTTGTTGTAAATATTAACCCATAGTGGAACTGTTAGACATGAGAACTAGCTAATGTTTTCTACTATAAGCTAACTATATACTGACTTCCGACTTGGCTCTTTTCATGGTAGTAGTTTTAGGATCCATAAATAAATATTTTTTCTCTATAATTTCTTAAATTAAAACATATTGGTTGAAGTTTTAAATTTCAAATGTCAGCATTCCCATCCAATGTTACCGTCCATTTTCAGAACCATATTTGAGAACATATCTGATAATTACTTTTAACTACATTTCTTCTAGCTTATCCATGATGACCGACACATTGAAAATCATCTTCATTAAGATGAACAATTTAGTAGGTCCTATACCTGGAATGCTGAATTTGTATGTATTAAATGCTGGCAACCTTCTTATAGACAGGGGAACAAACATCATAATATCTAATTGAAATATTGCTGACAACTTTTAATTGAAACATAATATAAACGTATGTTAAAATTGTGCGTATGTGTTAAATCATTTTTCTGAACATATTAACGTATATAACAATTCAAATTGTTATTTGTTTATTCTTCTAGGTTCGAGGATCAATTCCATTACTTTGGGATCAGATTGTTGATTTGACATATAAGCCAAAGTTTGAAATCGTTAGACTCGAAGAAGCAGTGAGTAGCATAATTATGTCTTTGAAACCTGTACCAAAAATATCAGGTAATATGAATATGCCTATACCTGTTTCCTGAATTCTTCCTTTATCTGACATTTCTGCAGTCACGAGTAGTTGACCGTCACTTTTTAGACCTACGAAAGAAATATGGAAATGTTGTTGCGGTTGATCTCGTTAACAAGGTATACAATTGCCTGACATCTTGTAAACTTCAGCAGATTTTTGCTGTTGTAGTTTCGCTGATGGCAATTCTGGTGACAATCAATGGGTAAAATCTTATGTGCGAGTGCTAATTTTTTTCCTGTCATCAGAGTTTTCTTGACAGATTCCTGTAGAATGTATTTTTTAGCTTTTCATGAATTTAGAGATGTCATTATTTCTACTGATAAAAGACAAAATAATAAGAAAGAACTTCGAGGAAATTGAATATGGATGCTAAATATAATATCTAACATCAAGCATTGGAATGTTTCACTTTGATACTTAGTAGTTACATCAATTTTGGAGTGATCATTGATATTGGCATCGAGGGTAATTTGGAATGCCCTCCCTGTCAGAGGGAAATTCTCCATTTCTCTCAAAGATAGATTTGCGATACGCATCAGGGGAATGAGAAACGGGGTAAAATTCCTAAGTCACATTATCTTTGTTTTCCATCCTAACTTGTGGTATTCCCAGCTGTATATGGATTATAGCATCATAAGAACATCAAAGACTAATGACAACATGATATTTGATTAAAATGCTAACTTTGAAAATCAAACTAAGAAACAAAAGAGAAAAACTACCATAATGTAAAAGAGGCCCTCTTCACTACTCTTGTCCTCTTGACATCATATGTTAAGAGCATCTCCAATGCATTTCATGGATTGCAATCTAAGTGGCATCTAAATAGAAAGGCTTCTGATATACATGGTATTAATGACTAATGAATAGATAGCCTATTTCTTCTCCAATGAACTCCCGTCTCTAATTCAAATTTCAATTACTAATGTATATTTAATAAGAGAGAGAGAGAGAGAGACAAAATAATTAACAGGAGAGAAAAAATAAGAAACGTGAGAGAGAAATATTAAATTATGGTGAGAAGAGACTATATTAGACACTCCTCTTAACAATTTCTACTCTTTTTGTCACGCTAGCTAGACATAGTCTTAGACGTGTTGTATTGGAGAGGAACTTTTGTAAACATTGTCTATTTTAACTTATGTGGAAACCATTTTAGTGCAATCCATATTAGCATTAGAGATGCTCTAAGAAAGACTACAACCGAGATTTTCATGATTAAAAAGGTTATAACTCACTAACTCTTCATTTCCTTTAGAAAGCAATGAAACTGCATCGTTTCCTCTCTTATCTTTATAATTATTGGCTACATCCAATTCAAGACGTTCATACTATAGAGAACTGTCATATAGTAAATCACAATCAAAAGTCGAATTTGTTTGTTTGGTTTAATAAGAAAATATTAAGATAAACAAAAAGTAAGTGGTTAGTTTATATTCAAACCTGGAGTTTGTCTTAGCCTGGTGGATGGTTCACATGAATGTCAAAGTGCGTATGTTTCTTTCTTGCACTTTTGGGTTGATTGACACCTTCATCTTTTTTTGGACTTTGTGAATCCTTGTGCAATAATTATTCTTAGACTTCTTTGCCTATGTTTCTTGAACTTCACAACAGCATGGAGGTGAGGGGCGATTATGTGAAAAGTTTGGTGATGTAATGCAACATATTGCCAGTGATGATGTGAGGTAGATTCTCTCTCAATCTGGTCCTCTTTTACCATTAAATGCTAAATTTTCAAATTGATGCTAACCACTACAAAATTGTGCAGATATTTGCACTTTGATTTTCATAGGATATGTGGACATGTTCATTTTGAACGCCTTTCCATTCTTTATGATCAAATTGAGGATTTTCTCATTAAAAATAGGTAAAGTTTCTTTCTATAAGAGCAAATAGTTTTGTTATTCTATGAGACTCTTGTTTCATTACTATTAGATATCTTTTAGTTTGTTTATGCAACTACATTTGTTGTGTATATTGAGCACTGATTCAGAGGAATAAATCTGATCACAGACATAATAACTGGAATGAGTTCTGAAACACTTATGAGGTGACTCTCGTTCAAGTTCTGGAGAAGGGTGAAATTGCATGAGGTTCTCACCATGGTGGGGTCTGGGGAGGGTTATATGTATGTAGCTTTAACCAGGCAAGAAGCAAGGTTGTTTCAACTCCTACCAGGTCAACTGTAACACTGCACCAAAAACCATCCTTCATATTGCTAAACATTAAAGTATATGGAACTTAAATACAATATTTTCGATGGTATCATGTCCTAATGAAGTCATTCAACAAAGTTAGGTGATAGAGTATATGTTGGAATTCCATATTATATTAAGCATTTCCAACTGAAAGGGAAAAATTAGGAAGTATTGAGTTTTTGTACATAACGAGTATGTCAAAACACGAAATCAATGTAAATATTATTGAAGAAAATAATGTTAAGAGAAAGGAGTTTTATGGAAGTGCAAAATTATCCATGTCATTAGATCAATCATTTTTCTCAATGGGACTTCTATGAGGAGCAATATCAGCAATAATGGCTTGAATGTATTGGATCATTAATTTCGACTAGTCTGTTGAAGGTCAATTCTGAGAGCTTCTCTCTCTCTCTCTCGGTGCACTTGTGTTAAGTCAATAGAGATGTACCGAGATTATGTTACTTGGTATAAATGTAGGGTAAAGTATAATGAATTGCATGGATTGAAGGAAACTTATAGAATTTTTTATGTGATAGATGATTGACTATGTGTCGTGATTGGAATTTTGGATCATGAAAATATGCTTATGTATGATTTCAGTCATAATCTAGTACTTAGAGAGATATACGTGATAGAGCATCAATAAAACCATAAAACAAATCCTCAAAGTGGTAAAAGAAGCCTTGATGCGGTGGCATCTGACCAATACTGATAACACTGGGATTAGTATAACCTGATACTTTTTTGTCAAACCCAGAGTAGTTAGGATGAAGTTTGATTAGTCGGGTTGAATAGTTTATGTTAAAGTTCAGGGCATGAGCATGTGGGTTGAAAGCAAGTGTGTGAGACAGATCATTTCACGTTAATAAAATCTTTGTGAAAGCAACAGTCCTAATTCTTTTAAAACGATTTTTCTACATATGTACAATGTAGTTCTCTCTGAGAGTAAATTAATGAATATGTCTCAGTGTTATGAATACATCGGTAAGTCCCTACCATTACTTGGATCTCCAGTCCATAAAAAACAGTTGTAAGGAACAACTGGATGAAATAGAAAGCCTTACTGGTGGCACTTATCCTTGAGATGTGAAAAGTGAGTCACGTTCTGGTCAAGTTTTAAAATGATCAGCCAGTTCTGCTAAAGGACCTGTCCAATCAATACAGTAAAGCAGGTTAAGTAGAAACTTTCTTTACTGTGCTGGCTGATAGGGAGTAAAATTATGTTCTCAAAATATTGGAATCTTCAAATGTGAATGATATTAAGTACAACTGTTTTCCAATAAATTGTTCAATCATTGTTTGACATTTGCTCAAAGCTGTTATCTGGAAGCATTGATCAGTTTCTTTATGGATGTAATGTGAATCATAGGTACCTTTTGTTAAATGAGAAGGGTGAGAAAGTCGAGGGGCAACTAGGAGTTGTGCGGACCAATTGCATTGACTGCCTAGACCGTACAAATGTCACACAGGTACTGTTTTTCTTTAATAATCTGCAGTTGAGGTAATACACTGAAAGTATTATTATTTCGTGCATCTTATATGCATATCTCTGTGCTACACTTGTTTCTGTAGAACTCTTAAGGAAAAACGGCATACTCACTCTGTCCTTACCTCAGTGGAGCTATGTTCTGTTATTTTCCCTAAATGCGTCCTACAAATATGGATGGAAGCTCAACAAAGATGAAATAATGCTAAAGGCTCCTGCGCAACCTTTCGCATTCATTTTTCTATTTGGAAAAGAAACTGAACCATGCTCTATCCTTTGCCAATTATTTAAATGTTTATAGGAGGCCACCTTAGGAGGACATACTTTCTGCCTCTTGGCTTGCATAGTTAATTGCTGTCACTTCTTCGTTCTACGTCACCATGCATCAACCCTAGGAATGTCAGAATGGAATTATTCATCCTTTATTTGTCATAGTATTGATAACTCTATTGTAGTTTTAAGACTCTTGTACAGATTCATAAGAACATTATTTTATCTTTGAATTTAGTTTCCACTAGATTATACTTGGTTAACAGTCTTTAATTAGATTCTTTGAGCATTGGTTTGCTTTTGAATTAAACTGATCAAGACAGCATGGTTGTCATGCTTTATTTGTTTTTCAGTTGGAATTGTTTGGCCAGATGTATTCTTTACTATGTACATGTGATATGATTGGTGAAAAGCTTAAACTTTAAGTTTTTCTATTGAAACTTAAGTTGAAACTACTAATGTTTGTTCCTTTTAATTTTCGTTTTTGAATATTTCAGAACATTTTTTTCTATGGATTTTGATTTAACTTGCTTTCACACCGTTAAATCTTGATGTTGTCTGCTCTGCCTGGTAGTAAGCTCATTATTTGTGTTTCTCTGTATTTGTGTGGATATATAACATGACCCTGCAGAAATGTTGATCTAGTTATGTTCAACTAGAATTTCTACCATTGTAGATATCACGATTCGGGCATCCATCTGATCTCATAGTATTTCTATTGTGACTTATAGTGATGAATAGAACGTCAAGTATTTACTGGGAAAGAATTCTCAATCATATTTATTCTGTGTTCTGATGAAAGAGCTCTGGTTGCAGAGCATGATTGGTCGTAAAATGTTGGAATTTCAACTTCGAAGACTTGGTGTTTTTGATGCCGAAGAAACTATCAGCACACATCCCAATTTTGATGAAAGCTTCAAAGTTTGTCAGTATTATTGCATACCTTAGCTATAACTAATATACTTTATGTTACTTCCATTTTCCTTGGTAGCAATTGACATTTTGTGACATCGCAATAACTGTTTCCTAAAGAATTTTATTATTTGGATTCTTTATCACCTTATGCCTCTCTCATCTTTATACTGTTCCAAATTCCATTTCAGTGTGGGCTAACCATGGAGATGACGTAAGCATCCAGTATTCTGGTACTCCTGCTTTGAAAGGAGATTTTGTCAGGTACCCTTTATTTGCTAATATAGCTACTGTTCTATGTTCTGTTCTTTTTTATAATGGAAATTCAAAGTGATGATGTTTCTTACATGCTTAATGAAATCACCGACATTATTTAACTTATCACACCTGCTGGTTATATTTGTTAATATGGTAACTCCACTATATTCCATTCTTTTTTACAAAGGAAATTGAAAGTGATGATGTTTCTTGTTTGCTTAATGAAATCACCAACATTATTTAACTTATCACAACTGCTGGCTTTATTGTGGGATAAAAAAAATTTCTTGAAACCACTGCCAACTTATATACTAGCACAATTTTCTGATTTAGGGAACCTCCCTGAATGTAAATGATGTAAATTCACTTTGCTTTCCTCAATCATTGTCCCTAGCACTTTGATTTTTTAAGCATTACTGAGCAGCTTGAGAGATAACAAATTAACAACGTATGTTTGATGAACTTGAAGTATGAAACTTGAATTAGTTCATTTTTTTCAGTAAATTAAGGTAAGTTGTGTTCTATATTTTGTTACAAGTTGCTAACTGCAGCTACCCCGCCCCTGCCCCTGCCCCTACCTCTACCCCTACCCTCCTCTTCTGATTTGCTTACTCTTTACTGTTGTTAAATGCTGCTACAGATATTGTTTGGTTCAATCTCTTAGTTAGCCACTTAACTTCTTTGGTATCCATCAGATTTTAATCTCGACTACTTGTCCCTTATGATTGTGAAATTTTAGCAAATTCTTTTAGCCTATTAATTATTGAAATTGTAACTCAGTTTGTAGTTTATTATGATTTATGAGACAAGACGAGGATGAAAAATATCCTGTGGAATCTAAAGGAGTGATAGTGTTCTTTACTCATTTTAGTGTAACAATAAGGTGGAGGGTTAGCTTGTTATGACTTCAAAATTGACTGCAATTTTATTTATTTATTTATTTTGGCGTGGTGGGGGACTTCTAAGCATGCATATTATATAGATAAAATATGAGGGATGATAATGGAACTTAGGGTACCGTAGTTCACCCAATTTCTTGGATTCAGGAACACTGAAGTACAGAATTCCTATGAATCTTGAGCGATCAAATGTTGAAGCTCTGGCTATGTGCTTGACTATTGATTTATTTACTTCCTTGTAGTTAAACTATCTATCTAATTGCCTACCTCAGTTTATTGCACTTAGGTTGTGGATTGATCAGGCCTCAGCATGGAATATATGGGAACTCACCCTTAGCACGTAGTTGTGATGATTAGTAGGATATAACATTGCTTACATATGAGATGTCAAACCGGTAGGAGAAAATACAATAGAATGAGGGAACATGAAATATAAACTTTGGTATACAAGCAAGGAAAAAGAATAGGAATGGGGTAGAATATTCATTGAACTCAGTGTGGAAGGGGTTGGGGATATGATGATGATTTTAGTTAGCTTCTTTTAGAGAAGAGTCGGATAGTATGCTTGGCGACAAATGAAATGAACAAAAGTTCAATTAAGAAGAAGAGAAAGGAAGGAGAAGGAAGATAGAATATAGAGGGAGATTGTAATTGTATTCAATAATAAAGGTGTGTCTATTGCAATCAAAGAATCTCTTTATATAGAGTCTAACCTAGGATTAATAAGGAAAACTAGGGTTCTTCTATAGAAGAAACAAAATCAATTGTCTTGTAACCGCAATAAAAGGCAATAATAGAGAATAAGGAAAATACTATTAAATCCTAATCGATTTGGTTTCTTCTACTCTAGAATATACTTCCAATGTTGCATCAATGCTTCACAAATAGAACTAGACAAGACAACAAAAAGATGATTTTTGGCAGATATGAATGGGTTGACTAAGGGAATCCCTAGAAAGAATATGATCACTGTTGGGGGCTTTTGAACAGTCACGAGGGGAAACGTGATTCAGGTTACAAAAAGTACATAGAAATTTTGGCTTTAGAGATCGAAATGAAGATGTAATTTATGATTTGTTACTAGAAATGAACAGAAGTTTAATTTGACTAGATTTCATTCTCACTAGGAAGGTGAAGGTGTTTGTGCAAGGATTTTAAGGTAATTCCTAATAAGAGCTTAAATACGAAATATAGGTTGCTGGTGTTTTTTATTAATAAATTGGAAAAAAAGCAGTAAACGTGCTGGGGGGGGGGGGGGGGGGGGG